CTGCTGTTCCTCGATGCCCCGTGGTGAAACCACACGCACTGCGGTGGTTTCTGCCGAGGCCGGGGGTCTGCAAGGGAAAATAATCTGCTGCTTTTGCTCTGCTTCGCAGGCGAGATGAGGCGGCAGGTCCCAAGTCGGGCCAAGGTAAGTCCTGCCTGGCCCAGCAGCACCCAGAGCTCTCTAAAGCTCCCATTCTGTAACAGGGGCTGTGGATGGGGAACTGGTGAAACCACACGCACTGCGGTGGTTTCTGCCGAGGCCGGGGGTCTGCAAGGGAAAATAATCTGCTGCTTTTGCTCTGCTTCGCAGGCGAGATGAGGCGGCAGGTCCCAAGTCGGGCCAAGGTAAGTCCTGCCTGGCCCAGCAGCACCCAGAGCTCTCTAAAGCTCCCATTCTGTAACAGGGGCTGTGGATGGGGAACTGTGCCTGTACCAGGGCCTTTTTGAGAAGCTGCAGCCTGGACAGATACTGGTTGTCCGGTGCTGCAGGAAAATACTGAAATACCAGCCTAAAAATGGCAGGGTTTGTGTTTAATCTCTGATTCTAGAGCCTTTCAAACTGTACCGTGACTTGAGCCCAGACTGCATAAGGAAATAATGAGCAGGTGATAGGATAAAAAATCTTTAGTATTCAACTCAGTTGTAATGATAGTTCTAAATATAGCTGGTAATTACTTTTATACAGGATATATAATACTGTGATTTTGTGATAAGAGCAAAAATTAAGTAACGTTATTCAAATCCTCAACTACAAAACCAGACTCCTGGATCCTCATGAGTATTTTAGCCTTCCTTATCTGTACTTCACAATACCAAAAACGAAAATGCTGTGGCTGTTGTTTATTTTTTTTCCTGCAATTCTCATTCCAATCTCCGGTAATAACATAGAGGGCCTGTTTAAGTATTGCCACTTTTTTTCCTTTTAGTATTTTAAAAAATACTGCTGGCCAAGTAGAGAGGAGCTTAGGATGGTGCTGTAAATTTTTGGTCTCCACACCACATATTTAATAGGGAGAACAAGGCCAACAGTGGACGCTTTGCACGTCTTGCCTAGCCCCTGTGTTGCACAGGATTGTTACCTGGTATTGAATCCCGTTTGTTGTTGTTGACAGTGTCTAAGAGCAGGGAGGCTGAATAGCTCTGGTTCCCTGAGCCAATCTCGTACTTTTCCCCTCCTGTAACAGTCCTTCTGAGGCAAATGCGTTGTAGCTCTTGCAAGCCAGGCCTTCTGAAAAGGGGACTAAAGCCACCCTCCCCTCCTTTCAGCTTAGTGAGCATCTTGTTCCTGTTACTCTTCTGTGTATAGCTATGAATTGTCTGTTCAATTTTCTTTATATGAACACCCTGAAGCCAAGGTCGCAAAAGAGAGCGAGGGTCGTGTCCCAGAAGCGCGCAAGAAGGCCAAGCCCAAGGATTCCAGGTAGCTGGAAGTGGGAGCCTCCGTGCTGCTCACGGGGCTGCTGCTGTGCAGCTGGGGAAGGGGCCTGGCAGCTGCTCTATCACTGGGTCGCTACCCTCTGGGCTTTACAAGGTTTTTCTTGCTTTTCTCCTTGAAAGCACATTGTGGGATAAAGGCCCCTTTAATGCCTTCCAAAAGAGCCTGCTTGTGAAAACAAACGTTTCAGGAGGCTGCAGGGCCTAGTTCCCACTCCAGCTCCTCAGAAAAGCTTGGGGTGGGGACTTTGCCCTCTGCCATGGGCTGATGGACTGGGACCGTGTGGAGGAGTTGGTTTCTTTTCTTTTTCCTCTGAATTATATCTTTGGTTAATCCTTTTTTTTAAAAAAAGTATTATTACAGGACTTTAATGACTAATTTATTATCAATTTACAAATAGTTAATTTCAAAACTTACCTCATAACTTCTTTAAAAAAAAATGAGCAAAGGTGAACTCTTAAAACTGTGTTTTGGACTTCACTGCTGTGTGATTAGAATTTTAAGCAGCAGTAGCTGCACAGAGGAAGGAGGGAGCTTCTTTATGTGTCAGCTTTCCTTACTGACCATAAATGCCAGATTTCATTTTCAGGCATAGAAGGGAGGAATTACAGGCATGTCCTTGGAGATGGGATGAGATGTGGGCAGGCATAAGCACAGCCATAAAGGGTCTTTTACCCTGAGCCCACTTCCCCTGGGGGAGGTGTATTTTGTGCCTGCCCCCCTCTGGAGGGGAAGCTTTTGTCAGGGCCACTTCCAGGCTGAATAGCAAAATAAAGGCAGTGATGGCAGGGGCTTAGTCTGTGTGTGTGATTTTTTTTTTTTTTTTTTTAAGCTTTCCATGGCAGGACTGGCACAAAGCCTGACTGAGACTCAGAACCCAAGTTACAGTGTTTGTTGTTGGGGCCAATTCTTAAGCAGCTACTAGAACTTACTTCCTTCCCTTTGTTGGTTTAACCAGGTCAGAAGGCAGCTACAGGGCTGTGCGCTTGAAGGACCAGCTCGGGGCAGGTCTCCACCAGCAGACAGCCCAGGACTTCTTGTACACACACCTCTATGGCCCGGGCACCAACCGCATGGATGGTGAGCTGGGTCTGCTGAGCATGGCCCTCCTTTCTGTGTGGGGACTGTTAAACTCAGTGAATTAGCCTCACTAATTCATCTCCATTTCAGCAAATGAGTTTTTCTCACTTGAAAACAAGAAAAACCCAGTTAAAAAGGCTGCTGTTCAGTTTGTGGACAAATCTTGGGGTAAGTGTAAAAACTGAAAGCAGGTCTTTCCTTAAGGCTGTGTAACTTCATCTGCCTTCTTTCCTGTTCACAGCTTTTCTGTTTGCTCTGGGAACTGTAGCTTGCTACACACTGATAGTGAGGAGCCACCCTGGGCACACTACAGCAGGGGGGGATGTACAGGGCCCTCCAACATGTTGCCTCCTTTTTCATACATTTATTAAGAATCAGCAGCAACTGCACTAAAAGTTGCATTTACTTGCTTAGTTAAATAGCATAGTAATTGTCACTTCATTTTTATGAACTCTTGTGTTAAAAATTATATAAAATAAGTGGGTATGAGCTCATATGGTAGTGATGCCAGGATCACAAGATTTCTGCATGAAAGGTTTTATAGTAATGAAGACAGACCCATGCATCAGCTCCAGCCCTCCCAGTCAATCAATCACCTATATGGAGTCTGTGAATATCATACAAGGTAGAGGGGAGAGTTCTAATTATTGCTCCCTGGTAGCCACATTCTGCTTCTTACCTTCCCCACTAAGTCTTTTTCGCTTGGGCTTGAACTGCTACGGTAATCTGTGCTTTGTGCCAAGAAAATGTTGATTTTTTCCCTTTTTTAAGGACTTGAAAAAAAGCAGAAAGCAGCCAAGTTTAAGAAGTGCTGGCTGGCAGCAAACATGAAGAGCCTTGTGTGAAGATGGCTCTCCAAGGAGGTTCTAGCAGGGGCTTGTACCGAGAGGTAACGTCTCGGCGCCTGCCTGTAAGGAGAGGTTTCTGTCTTCCTTCTCCCTCACCCTCCAGGGCTGCAGAGCTGCCCGTGGCCGCTACTCCTGGCCCCTCAAGGCCTCCCTGAGGCACAGGGCAGCACAGAGGCGGTGAGCAGGAGCCTCAGCAGCACTTCCTCACATGCTGTTTTACAAGGCCAGTCTCAGAGCTGTCTCCAGGGCTGGCAGAGAATAAAAAGGAATTGTTTTGTACACGCTGCCTCTCTCATGTTATTCCTGCTTTTTCAGCCATGCTGGGAAAGACCTGGGGGCAGCTGCAGCTCCGTGTGGGGCCTGCAGCAGTGCCACTTGCTTGATCAACAGCCCTTGTTTTTGCAAGAACACCCTAAATCTCTAGCTCAGCACAGGGTTCAACCCCTGTACTCGGCTGATAGAGGCAAGAGCTGGCTCAGGTCTGGCACCATGAACCACAGTGCTGGTGCAGGGCTGTAGTGGAAGCCTTGTTCTAGGGTACAGCTCCAGGACACACACAGTGTAGCATACAAGTCCATGCTACCATAGATGTAGAAGTAAGTTTTTAATGGCTGGTTAAGTATGGTATCACTACATTTTATTGCAATATAGTACTATTTAAGCACTTTTAAAAATGCAAGGTGTACAAAGATTAAATTAAGACTGTAAATTGACTAAATATTTGGTTTTTATATAAATAGGTCATAACCACACTGTGTTGACATGTAATACTGTTATAATACAACAGTTAAACTGGTGAGTCTACACAACAGAAGCTGTCTGAAGTTAAACAAGGAAACAAAGTTGAAAAGACCATGTTAAAACAAAAAAAACTACTAAGATCAACAGGTTGGGATTGTAAGTAGCAACAAACATATTCACTCAGCTCCTGAGTAATTCAAGTTTTACAGTACACATTAAAAAATATCATTTCTTCCCATCAACACTATATATCCAAACCATCAGGTGTTTATGCATTTTGCAAATTACACTGATTGAACTATGTAACAATGGGGGGGGTGGAGGTTGGCAAGTCATCCTGCTCAGCCCTGACATCACCCACCTGCTAATACTACATCCACGCCTGGAGTCTTCCGCCCCGCCACGGAGCAACAGGATTTTTGGTTCATTTTGGACAATCGTTTAAAGGATTTGTAATGGTCAATTTGCATGTCGGACATTATCAGTGATATTTTCGACTCTTAGTTGTCCAAGAGGTTTGAAGATGGAAATTTTCTCCTAACACTAAGTTAGAAATCATTTGCATCATGCTGTAAACTAGGAAGCAACATAAAGCGACAGACTCGTCCTTAGTACATAATTAAAATTCCAAATTCCAGTCAGCGGAGCTGCTCTGCGCGGCGCCCCGCTAGTGCAGATAGTCCTCCACGGTGGCGAACGCGCACGAGCCGATTCCCGAGCGAGCCATGAGGCCCAGACACTGCGATGCCTGGCCCATGGCGAGGGCGAGGGGCGGCTGCTTTGGCAGATTGTGAGTCTCTGCAAGAGAATTGACAGTGGCGGCGCTGCAGCACATGGTTACTGGCACCGCAGTGTGGGGAGAATCCAGGCTAAGCTTGCTTAAATAATTCCAGGATCCCTGTATTGGCCTGCACACCTTGCCCCAGCTTAAGGCAGAGCAGGAGCAGTGAAGTGACATACTCAGATTCCCCACACAGCGCCAGCAGTGAGCAAGGCACCTCGTAGTTTCAAAACAAAGGATTTTACATGGATTGACTATTAACTCCCTCAACACTCTTCATTTTATTCTGCCGACAGACACTGCCACAGTATAGCCCAGGCCCCTGCCCCGCACGGAGCCCCACGGCCTTACCTAGTATTGCACTATTGAGCACTGAGCACACAGGTTCTCTTTGTATCGGGTCAAGCTGGTTTCCCACAGGACTGCTCCAGGGATCGGAATACGCAAGTAAACTGAACGCATCCTGTGGAAAGATTATTCTTGTTAAATCTCACAGCTGTATTTACTAGCAAAAAAAAAAAAAAAAATTCACCCTGACTCAGCACAAAGGTGGTTGTACTGATGAGGGATGCCAACACTGGGATTAAAAGTTAGTACGGCACTTGTCCCACTTCAAGCAAGCAGAGCTGACTAAACACTTCTTCCATTGGGAAGACCCCACAATGTTTTCCTGCTGCGCGCAGAAAGGGGCTTCAGCCAGCAGGACTAACGAGGAGCACATCCAGACCCTACCTTCAGCATTTTCTTATTCGCTGTGTTTTTGCCGCACTCTCTTCTTAGCTGCTCGCTCATTGCTTGCAACTCTCTCCCAAAGTGGATCATTCTTTCGATAGCCGCTTGGCTGCCGCCGCAGAGCTGCCGCCGTAGCTGACTGGAATCTACTTCTGCAAGAACGATACCGTCGTCACCACCATGAAACACGCTGGCAGCACAGGCCACGGGAACTAGAGCATCAGCTGCATTCAAAACAAACTGGGTTTCTCCGAGAGAAACAAGCAGAGCCAGAGAAATACTGTGGCACTACACTACATGCTGCTGAACTCTTCCTTAAGTAGTGGTATCTTAGAGGATTTTGTTAACAGCAAAGCCAGTCTAGAGGTGCTGGTGTTTTTTTTTTTTTTTGGGGGTCATGGTTATTTTTTAAACCAAGACGTAAGTTAGAAGTGTTCTTGTTTTAAAGAACTGCTGCCTAAATACACATCTTTTTATTTCCCTCATGCGATGTATAGACAGAGCTTCCTTGGGAAGCAGACTCTGCTTCTTGCTTCAAGAGGTGCATGCAGTTCTAGCTACTTTTTTAGTTGTTTGGCATGGTACCTCTAGGGTACACCAACTGTCAAAATTGGGTTAACGTAAGAAAACGTGTGTATTTCCCAAACTGCCAAGACAGGCACTGCTACAAAACCACCAGCAGAAACTATTCAGATATATGAAGTCCTTCCAAATGATCTAATATAAAGTCCACGCTCCTTGTAAAATGTGTTAGCTTAGTAACTTGCACATTTAAGGCTCTCTTTGTAATCTAGGGGAACATCAGAAGCAATTTCTTTGCTGCATACTACATTACTTCCATGTTATTTCACAAATAGGAGTGATTTCAGAGGATATTAATATTTGCGAACAGTAAATCAATCCTTATTTTCTTGGAAGTCTTTTCCAACAACTCCAGTAACCTGTAGGAAAAGGTTTATCCATTCCTTGCCTTTCCCCCGCATCGATGACACTAACAGAATTCTGAACTACCCTTCTGTTACAAAACGGTTCCTCCTTCTTGTTTTAACCTTGCTGTATTATGATACTGGTCACTATTTAAAACAGGTACTTGAGAATGGAACAGTCATTTTCACTTTTTCTTAGAAGGAAGCATATCAGCTCTGAAAAATACTGCCTACGTAAAGCTACATACAGAGCAATACAGGGAATACTTCAGAAAGCAGAAATAGAATACAAATAATTCCCAGAGTCTGGGGCGTGCGCATGCAGCTGAAGAGGCAACATGTTTTTACAGAGGTCGAGCACCCTCAAGTCCTTGCTCAGTGGTGGTTGTTGCTAGCAGCAGCCCAATCTAAGACACCATTTTTCCAAGGCTGAAAACAACCACAATTAAAATGAACCCAAAAAACCTACAAACCGAAACAAACAGAAAAAGACCACAGCAGCTCTGCACCCTGGGCAGCTGCTCTGTGGGACAGGCTGCAAGAGAGCAGAGATGCGTTTTCTGTGCGCGAGCAGCGAGGCCTTGTTGTTATGTGGCCCTGGGCACCGGCCCTCGGTGCTGGGACAGGGCCGCCCTCTCTCCCGGTGGTGGTTGTTGCTAGCAGCAGCCCGATCTAAGACACCATTTTTCGAAGGCTGAAAACAACCACAATTAAAAAAATGAACCCAAAAAACCCACAAACCAAAACAAACAGAAAAAGACCAAGCTCTGCACCCTGGGCAGCTGCTCTGTGGGACAGGCTGCAAGAGAGCAGAGATGCGTTTTCTGTGCGCGAGCAGCGAGGCCTTGTTGTTATGTGGCCCTGGGCACCGGCCCTCGGTGCTGGGACAGGGCCGCCCTCTCTCCCCTGGAGATCTGCAGGAGTGAGCGGCCAGACCGTGGGGCTGGCACGAGCGCGCCCCCAGCAAGGACGTCTGCAAGGGCTGCTGCTCTCTGGGGTTACCAGCGACGCCATCCCGAGTCTTGCGTTTCGTGCCGGCTACGTAACTGAGGCCCGGGTAAAGCCATCTAAAAAGGCAGCTCTGCAAATGCAGAAACGTCGGGCTGGATTCAGCCCCTTCTCAGGTACTTCCACCAGTAACAACCACCGCGTCTAACCCTCCGCTGGGCACGTGGGGCATCTGCCTGCAGCCTCAGTGGCTGGGGAGGGCTGCCCGTGCCGCAGCGTGCGGAACGGCTCTCTTGCCAAAGTGCCCTGGCACGCAGGGTGCTCGAAGAACTCGCCTCTCACCTCAGCAAGTGTGACTGAACACGAAACAGCTCAAGTTAAGCAGGGTCGCCTTTTAGAGCTCTACTATGCAGAACAGGGCATTTCTTCAGTGGATAACAATCTTTCACATCACTTTTTTCTTTCCCTGAGCATTCCCTATTAACGCCTACGGAGTTTATATTCTTCAAATACAAGTGATCTGGAGTTTCAGCTCTTACTGCCACGTGCTAGGATGCCATGAGGACTATGGTGATAAAAGGATGGAGGGAAGATGGAAAAGTAACTGTTAGCCTTAAGCTAGGTGTGCTAAACCACTAAAATAACCTCAAAGGTATTTTCTTAGAAACTCACGGATATTTAAATTGGCATCAGTGACTACTTCCCCCTGCTGTCACGCAAACATCCGTTCCCCTTAAATCAGTGTTACAAGATTTACATACAACATCAGCAAGACAAAACTAAGTTCTCAGCGCATATCCCTAATTTTCAAGTTGGGAAGCATTGCAAGTAAAAACATAACCTTGTTGCCATCACTTAATAAAAATGTAAGAAATATCACTGCAGACCCATTTCTGTGTCACATTCTTCCATTTCGTGATCATGTTTAGAACTACCATTTAGGAAGCCATTGGATGAAGCCTCAGCAACCCCATTGGAGTAGTGATCTGTTTCCATGTCTACATCATTGCTGCAAAGAGAGGAATACACAACAATTTTCATTCACATCCAAGCACGTAGGGTCATCCTTGTCTCAACCTCAGCACATTACTTTATCCTGGCTAACAATCCTGCTTTCAAATACTACCAGGTTGGATCGCAGATTTTTCCATCACAAGTGGTAATACCAGAGCACCAGGGATGTTAAGGCTGTCCCAACCACCACTAACATCCAGAAAAATAACATTTTCAGGTGATGAAACATTAGGTGCCCAGCAGTACAGAGGAATCAACAGCATCATACTTTCTAAATGCCTGGGCAAGCTACAGCTTGGTAATTATGCCCAGATTAATATATTTATTTTTATTCTCTGAATTGAAGAGATTGTGCAAACGCACAGTGACAGTGATTGCAGTTAAGCACACAATTCTTGTTAGAAATGAAATGCAAGAGTCCACATTTCACATGCCTCTGTTTTGTTTACCCTGCAAATATTGCTGCAAATGGAAAGAATCTAAATAACATCTCATTATCCAAACTATTTCCTATCCTATTCAATCAGAACTGGGTAACTCCTCTAAGAATAGCACTCTTGGCTACTCCCCTCCATAAAAACCAGTGTGTTCTCAGGGGACTCAAAATTATTGACAGTGTTTTAAATTAAAATCCCAAGTGCTTAGGAGCTCGTTAATCTGCCTATACAACTTCGTAGCCGGTCATGGCTTGCTATAAGCAGTTTATTTTTGCTTCCTGCATTTCTTTAACCGAGCAGGAAAACAGCATGGTCCATTTATCAAGAGCAGCTGAAGCACAACGCACACTAGCACAAGCGTGTACCGAGCTGAGGAGCAGCAGTGCTCTGCATGTCCCCTTGGCCGCTCGTGCTGCACATTTCAATTCTCCCTCAAAGGAAAGTCCCGTCCCACTGAACTCCTCCCTGCTCTACAAACAGGTGGGGAACCCAAGCACTGAGGTAAGTTGGAAACACCTGGAGTTTATTCACCTGGAGTAGCTGTTAACCTGCTGCGATCTTGATACATTTATGTTGTTGAGTTCTGGTACATTCAAGCTGGTGGTTGTGTGTTTACTGTGACAGTAAGATTGATGCGCTTTGTTTGATATTACTCCATTACTGCAGCTACTTTCAAAACCTGGAAGAAAGAAGTTTACACAACTGTAATTATTTATAAACCCATCTGTAACAAGTGATTTGCACAAAGGAAACAGGCCTAACTCTCAGCAAAATACAGAACTGGATTTTCAGAATTGATACACCACTGCCAGAAAATCTTTTCTAGTCCAGTGCAATCCTGAGGAATGGAAGCAGACATTCATCTTACTAATTCTTAAGTACATAATTCTCCTGATCAATATACAATAAAATTCAGTGCTAAAAACACTTCATGTGTTGCTGTACTCACACATAGCAATCCCTTTCCCCCATATAATTACTTTAATTGCTAATACTATGCTTTGCTATATAAAATTATACCATACTGTTCAATTACTGGCTAATATCTCATCTGACCTTTCTGAAATATAATGAAGAAACTGCTATTTGAAGCAAATATGTAATTCCCAGTTCTATCAAGTCCCAAAGCAGAGCTCCCTGGTATCTTCTAATACAAACACAGGTCCCAGGGAGTGCTTCTGCTTTTGCCACCTAGGAAATCTCAAGGCCCCCTGCTTGCCACTGTCCCACTCACTACTCAAACACCAAGCAGTCTGAATTTACACCCGTCTGCCTGAGGTACAAGTTAGCACCCAAAGGACAACGGAAGTTTACCTTGCAATCCTCATCACCCAGAAGCAATCCTTTTTTAAAACCAACCTACCTTGCAAACGATTAGTAAAAGCAAGAGCAGACGCGAAAAAGATTTGACTCCATTTATATGCTTCCCATTTCTCAAACAACTGAGAATACATATTTTAAAACACTAAATCACTAAAAAAATCACTGCTCTGAGTAGTTCTGAATTCTGAAAGAGTTCTGCCTCAATTCTGAAAACAAATAATCAGTCTTAAAGTTTCAGTATTTGTTAACTTTTCCCAGTACTCCAAATTACAGACAACTCTTTACATATGTAGTATGTTCTCCAGCCACCTTACCAGAAAAGTGTGTGCTGCTCCCTTTTCCTGTTGCCAAACTGTGAATATTCATTCCATGGCTGGGGCTCATGCTAGGACTGCTAAATGACCGGGGGCTAACAGGGTAACTATCTTGAGATTTTGGACTGTGGCCTCCCAAACACCGCACTTCGCTGTCAGTACCATTCACCATCTCTATGAACTGGCGCACCCTGAACAAAAGACAAAGCAGTTAAGCCAATAAGCCACTTCTGCATGTCACTTTACTAATGAAAACCATTATTTTAGAGTCAATTATGCAAAGAGTATTTAAAAAACACCAAAATACTGCATGTCAATAACCCAATCTTCAGTGAGCTTAAGAGTATTCAACCAAAATATAAAATTGGTGAATTTGTGAGGGAGAAGAACAGGAACCTTATCCTTCAAGGCCAGATTTCAGCAATAAACCTAAGCCATCAGAACTAAGTGAACTTGTTTTTTTGTTAACTGTTTTGTTTTATTGGCAGGGGCAATGTTATTCCTCAAGAAGGACATGAAGTTATGTAGTCCTGAGTCATTGCTCTCAAAGTAAATGTCTGGAACAGTAAGCATGACAATGATGAAGTTTAACATTAAACATTTGTATTGGAAAAGTTTCAAAAGAAAAGCAACCTCATATACAAACCTTCCCCTTAGAGGCTGTTCCTTTTTTGACAAATAACTTAACTTTATTAGGGACTTTGATGAATTTCAGAAATACTGCATGATGTTTAGCTTTGGACTGTCTTAAAATAGGCAAAATTTGAACAACAGATCCTGGCTTTCACCTAGGAGGTTCACGTAATAAGGCCTAGGAGTTCTGTGATCAACTCGCAGCAGTATCATAGGAATTCTGCTTAGCGCTCGAGTACAACAGATTTGATCATTTACCTTCTAAGTTCTGTACTTAATGGTACATAAAATTGTATTACTTTCTCCTTATGTTTGACAACAGTTTGTTTTTGTTTGGCACCAAACTTTACAACATGATACAAAATGCCGGAGCATCAGTGCAGCTGGCATGTAAGAAATGCCAGAAGGAACTGAAGGACAACGTGCGCTGGGAAGCCAAGGCAACTCTTTGGGAAGGAGCGAGATAGGTCGTTTTTTATTTAAACTGGTCTGTAAATCAGGCATCCAGAGCAAGGGACCAGATTATGTGACAAGACTCAAATGTCTCGAATGTGGTAACTTCTAGGATTGGAAATGATTTTTAAAACAGCGCTAGAGGACAACTCTACGCTGAGATGTGAATTACGCTGCAGAACACAGAACCTTGATGACAAAACCTAATAAAATATGTAGCAAATAAATACAGCATAAAAAAATGTGAACTAAATACATTTGCTAAAAATGCTGCTTAAGTTTCTGTGAAAGCTTTAAATGAGTAACTGTCTAGTCCCAGAAGTACTGTGTCATCTATAAACACGCATCTGTATAATTTGAAGACTCACTTTAATGCAAATAAGAGATTAGGATTTCTTTCTAGTAAACTTGGATACAACTGTTGTGTTGTTTCAATGGCTTCTCCCATTCTTCCTGCTAAAACCAATTTCTGAATTCCTGTTCACCAAAAAACAAATAAGAGATTAGGATTTTTTTCTAGTAAACTTGGTACAGCTGTTATGTTGTTTCAATGGGTTCTCCATTCATCCTGCCAAAAACAATTTCTGAATTTCTTTTCGTCAAAAACAACATCAGTTTAAAAGGACATTTTAGGATCAACATGTATAAACAAATGACTAAAGACACTGCAAGCATCAATCAACAGGTTTTCCCTTTTAGAAAAAAAGAAGTGTAAAGACAGACCACAAATCATTCCTTAAAGCCTTCATCAAGGAAGCTTAAAAAAACTGCAGTTCATCTATGAATACTTAAAGGACTACTCATTAAATACTAGTGTTTATTGCCAGGGTATAACTACTTTGGACTCAAATTGCTCATTTAGAGCTGGATTAAGATTACAGACACTATGCTGCAAATTTTCTTTTTCATACCATTCCAAATAAGCACATGGCCAACTACGGTCACCCAAGACCATCCAGACTGCAGCCCATTCCCAGAGGTTTGATTCTGGGTGAGAAAAACCCAATTTGTTCTATGTGCCACAGTCACAGAAATGCTCCTGTTCTTGCAGCAGGGACTCACGCAAATGGAGAAGGCACCGTTTTAATCGTGTTGCCAAACAGAACTCAACTATTAAAGTTATTTTTCCTTTGTCTTTTTTCCCCTCTTCACAACTGTAGGCTTGAAAATATAAAATACTTTTTTGACATAAAAATACTCTTTAAACTCCACTACTTTTCACAATTGAGCTGAAAGTCTCAGCTTTTGTCAGGACTATATTTTATATTTGACCATTAGCTCTTACAAACACAATTCAAGAGACATTAGAAGACATGAGACACATTTAAGACAAATAACTATTTTCCGTTCAAGAGACACGCAACTGGTAACTTTCCACATTTCTCTATGTTAAACAAATTCCAAAACTATTAGTGCAGAAGTTCATCTTAATTGTTCACAGATGTGTAATTTTAGGTGAAAGCAATGAATTGCACTACAAAGTAATGCTGAAAGAAAATTCTATGATAGCATTTAAGAGAAAGTTTCAGGTTAAATGTGTTTAAAAAGAAAAGGGAGAAGGATGCAACGTGCTTTCCAGCCTTACTTTGTCTATTTTTAATGGAAGCTAATTCTTCTAGCACAGTCTGGTCTGTGGACCTGGCGAATGCCTCTGCTGTTGCACAGTATCCATGGTGAACTAAGTAAGATGAGACCATTCTAAAAATAAACAAAAACAAAACTCAGAAACATTTATTAGCTGCAGGTAAAAATAAAGCTGAGGGCTTCTTGAATGCAAGATCCCTTTCCTGGGGAAAAAAAAAAAAAGGCAAATTAATTAAACTCTATTTGAAATTCAAGACATTCCTAAAGCAGTCTGAAAAAAATAATATGGTTAGTTATGAGCCAGTATCTTCTCCAAAATACTGTGGGAAAACAAACAAACAAAACTCCACCGGAAAGTCAGTCTATTTTGGTAATTTTTATAATTTTGTCTTTACCCAAAGGTAGGATCAATTACAATATTACCTCCGTTTTTTTCTTTTTTTATTGTATATATTGAAGTAAAAAAGTTGAGCATTGTTTTTACTGAAGAAATAAAAAATGCAAAGCAATAACTACATTTTTTCCAACCAATACAGCAATGTGCCACAGCAGGAAGGGAAGAGAAATTTCCAGAGCACAATTAAAACTGCCAGCATTGACCATAGCATTTTTTCTAATCTCACCAACCCAAATTAGTCCCAAATCTGAATGATTTACACTCGTTGTTAGAAATTTTTAAGTAATACTATAGATAACTCCAAAGCTGTCAGTCAAACTACTCATAAGAAATTTTAATATTATTTGCACGGTCAAGACAATAGAAAAGATGTCTTGAAAACCTTTGAACTCACCCAGTACAAACATTTATATATTTGTAACAACAGGATACAAACTCTTACTTCTGAATCATTGTCTGCCACTCTCCTTCCCGATCTCCTATGGGAAATCTGTCAATCTGTGCTTGAATTTTGGTTCTCCATTCTCGCATGTAGTCTTCAATATCAAATACAAATGGATGTTGTCCAAAATTAGCATCCACAACCTCTCCTGGTGTTTGAAGGCCTACTGTAGGGTACAAGTTTGGCTGCAAGAAATTTTTTGGTTAGTTTTTCCTATTATTATCCATTCCCCATTTTTTTTTCCAAATCTCTAATATCCCAAATCTTACTCTTGGTGTGTAGAAACAAACACCTCTGGATGATCTGTCCAGTGGTTCAAGGAACTTAAACCAATACAGCAGTAAAAGATCTGATATATTTTATTCCCAGTGGTCAAAGTTCTTTGAAATAAAAAAAGCCTTACTGATAAATCTTGTTCTAGTCAGAAAATGCAGTTTTTAAAACTGTGCTAAAGTTTACAAATTTGGGTTCGATTTTATAGAATATTAAACATATTTTTAATGCTTTTTTAAAGAGATGGATTAAGGTTTCTTTTAAAAAGAGAACAAAAATTAAACTTACAAAGTGGGCCATTTTCCTTTGGGGGTGAAATACTTAAAACATCGCTGAATTTTAGTGGTAAGAATTGACAGGATAGAGAACTCATTAGCCTCAAAGTCCAAGTGTAGCGCCTAAAAGGAACTGTAACAGTGCATTGAAGTTCTCGTGAATTCCTGGACTTGTATCTAAAAAAAGACTTTAAAGCATTTATTGTGGTTTTAGTTTTACTTTCTCCTCGGAGATTAGGTCTTGGTGCAAATTCAAAATACACCAAATATGAGAAGGGTAAAATCTGCTTGGCAGGTTCAAAGTAACTTTCTTAAACATGAGTAGAACCTGAGCAATGGCAATTTTTTTTTTTTTTAATCTACATCAGATTTACACTTCAATCAAAGGACAGTCCTATAAATAAGCATACTATTAACATATAATATGCTTAACTATAGCATATTCACATATAGTAACTAATAATCTAACTGAATTTCAGTTCTCGGTGAGGAGTCACAAACATGCAGGTCACTAGGAACACAGAATCCCAGTGCAGCTAAAGAAGAATATTCTGGTTGTTAAAGCCATAACAAAGCCCTTTTTTGCCTTAGGAAAAAAAAAAAATCACAGTCTTATCTAGACTAGGCAATGCTGCAAGAGTCAGATTTCTTTCATGAGATAAAAAACACTCAACAGATGATAACGAGGAGGAGTCCAGCTCCAAAATTCAGATTAAAGTGTCCCCGTGTGTCTGCAACATCACTAGCAAGGACCCTGCCAGCACCCCTGTCTCCTAATGCCTGTCCCTGTCCCCCCGAGCTGCAGCAGCGGCTGCGTCACAACCCCATAAACCTGAGGCGACGGGGAGGAGACAAAGCAAAGCAAGCGCAGTGTCACACAGAGGACACATTCGCAATGATGGAAGCAAAGTACAGTTTAATTGAAAAGACTTTGGGGATCTATGTCCTCCCTAGAGCATTTTTTAAAATTTATTTTAACGTTTCATATTGTAGAACAAATAGAACAGAAAAAGATTTTGAAATCTAGCCATCAAGTAGGAACTGAACTTATCAGCGTCTCAACTAACCAACCTTTCTGTATATGACATAGTTCTGTGAATATGCACCATGTTGGTGCTTCAACATTGGACATAAGGCCTGCACCTGACAAAGAGAGCAATAACTAATTGCATATATTACTTTCTGGTAAATTTCAGATTTATATTCAGGTACTTCTGATTGAACAGGACACCTTCCCGCCCATCTCTGCACAAGGATTGCTGCAAAAACAAAAAACTTTTTGCTTAAGTTAACAAATCATAATTGGTGAGAAACATCTGATATTATATATGGATTATCATTGTGTTTCCAGGAAGCACAAGATAATTGTGAATTACCACTCAATATTACACATTATTATCAGCTATTTGAAAATGCACTTATCTTACCGGTAAGTCTGTGAAAGCGATGCCTGTAACAAAGACAAAATTAAGATTAGTTTCCATATATCTGAATTCTAGCCTGATTTTCTTAAGTATATCATTATTTGTCCAGAAAACTCCCCCAAACATTCAAAAATAAGTACTAAGTGTGATTATATCCATGATGTTTGGGCACAACTGAGGTTTTTGAGTAAAATGGGGCATCATCTGGCAAAAAATGATTTTAATTCAAAGGCGTACATATTTTCGAAGTACAGCAAAAAATTTAGAACTACCATATGGATATGCAGACTGAAAGTTTTAAAATTCTGGTATTTACAAGATAAGTAAAAATATATGAAGATCTTCTTGCACTTGCATATCTCAATATTGAGAAGAGGTCAGTGGTTTTTCTGTTCACTATTAAGTCTTCTTCCTAAGTAGTCATTATGGTTACATGGAAGATTATATATCTGTAATACTCTAAACCAGTCCAGTAAGGCGCTGTAATCTGCATGAGCGCGTTCCGGCTTTTGAACAAGGTAGTTTCATATCCTGTTACATAATCACAAACATCCATCCACCCACAAATCTGAGAGGGTAATTTTGCTGACTCAGGATTAAAGAAAAAAAAAAGTTCTCAGGAACTTCAGGCAATCTAGAAAGAACAGCTTTGAGTTACAAATAAATAAGAGGAAGTCTAGATCTGACAGCCAAACAGTAACACAATTTCATAACTTCCTTCAGTGCTGCATATTTGTTCAATTTTACTTGTGCATGACGATTCAAATTATTTTTCCCTTCAAGTTTGTATTTTTATGTGAATGCCACTTCAAATTTAACATTAAAGCAAAGCTTTTTACTTTTTATCCTGAATTCCACCCTGCTTTCTATCTTCACTCTTCAGCAAGACCTCAAATCTCAATAGTATCTGGATTCTTTACTCACATCTTGGCTATCTAAGAATCATGAATTGACTAAATCTTTCCGTTTCTTCCAAACTCATCACAGTTCTATCATTCTGCTTATTACCTATTCACACCCTGATTTTTTGTAAGATATCATCGCTTTGTCTGGCCAGAAATTTTGACATCCAAGTCATCCTCATCCAAAATGACCATGGCAGTTGCCAGGATAGACAAGTGATGATCAAGTGGCAATTCCTATCACTTTAAACAAACAGTTAACGTACGCGCTACATTTAGGTCACAGCTCTTGCCTGTTCTGCTTTGGTTTTTCCTTTCTCCTTTTTCTCTCAAGGCAAGATTTCACACTTGCCCAAAAATAATTGCGTGTAGTCAACACAGGCTGAGTAGTATGGCCCAAAGAAACATCAGTGTCTAAGTCATGATTTTATGGGAATTTTGGACAACGAGTAGTAACAACAACTTGGAAAGACAGATTTTTTCACCCCCCCAACACAGAGGCAAAGTTCACATCAGAGAGTCAAGTTAGAAAAGTTAACCAAACAAAAACAGCTGCCAGACCTCCTTCTAAAATTCTGAAATGTTTGTCAGGCTGTCCCTATGACAGATACCATTTTACTGGCCTCTCCTCAACTATGCCATTCAGCTCCCCTTTTAAACACATTTTAATGTGTTATTTCACAGTTGGCCTAATCCAATCCACTTGAAGACTTCCAGGGAGTGTGGAAGCTCAGTTCCTTCCCACTTATTAGCTCTTCCATGCACATAACCCCAAGGATGGTCAGAAAACTGAGGCCTTTTTCATTGATCAAAAATTCTGATCCAACTTACCTGTGGTAAAACATTACTAGCTCCAAACACAGAAGCAGCAGGCTACTGTTCTCAGCGGTAACTCACTTTGGTTACACTTTGGTAAACAAGATATGAACCTGTATCTTCAATTCTGATATATCGCTTGGAATAGGGCCCATAGGAAAGACTGTTCCCCACTGCCCTTAACACTTAGCAGGTGTTAACGTATTAACTCCAGGTATACATTCAAATGACAAGAACATTTAGCCACGTAATGGGCCCACGGAACGGTTTAATCAGAAGGAACCTCTGGAGGCATCTAAGCCCTGTTCTAAAGAGAAGACTGTGCAACTCCAAAGTTCGGCCACATTGCTCAGGGCCTGAGCAAGCTGAGTCCTGTTCCGAGAAAAAATTAAATCGCATCACTCCCTTACAAGTTACCAACCTGCCCTCATGTTTGCAAGTGGTAGAAAACAGACCACTGACTTTTAAGAGTCCATATCTCAATAACACCTTACTTAATTTCAAGCTAGACCTTCTTTTTCTTACCGCATTCCCCTGTCATCCATGTTATTACCCTTGAAAAAGCTTTTCATTTCTTTCCAAGTCTGATCCCTTTTTTCCACTTCTTCCAATACACTTCTAAGATCAATTCACAAAGTCCCAATGCGTTGGCTTATCCTTAACGTAGGATATGGACATTCTTTTCTTACAACGTATGGTTTTGCTGAATAAATTGCATGCAGCCACAGAATTAACACAAAGTGCATCAAAAAACTCCATGCCCCCATCCCAGTCTTCAAAATAAAAATTGTCTTGCAATGTTGCATAATGTTAAAGTTCATCACAAAGACTTAATGAATTTGATTTTAGGAAAACCTGTATAATTCATGGCTTCATCTCAACTATGCATAGCTCCAGACTGGGAATACAAAAGCTTAACAGATGTTTAAAACAATGCCCATTTGATTTAAAGATTTTAGGGGAGGTTATATGTTCTCCACCTAGCAGCATCAAATTTTAAAGTTATCCCCATTCTCTTTGGTCCAGAGGACAGACTGGCAGTCTTGCTCCAAACTGGCTGTGTATGTAATTAAAAAATTAGAACAAATCCACAGGCTTGGGCTTAACTGATACAAATTTGAACAAGAATTACTGTATATTTTAAGCATCAAATTAGTCCCTTCAGTAGGCCTGAGTTGATAAATGCAGATCCAATGTAATAAGATGTCATGGCGAACCCTTCCAAATTCGCAAGGAAAATGTGCAAATGGCACATGCAGAATCATTCTCCCCAATTTTAATTGATCCATATATTATGAGACTATTAAAGGAGCTATCCAAACACTTGGCTCATGACAGGAAGAGAGTGCTCGATCTAAAAATTCCTGGAAAGCATCAGATTTACAAAACGGTAACATTAGGAACAGTGTTTTGCCATACCCAAGCTGTGTCCATTCTTTGTGTAGAAGCAGGTATTATTGATAAGGTTGACACAACAACCAATAACGTCACCCGTAGTAAACGTTGGGCCGTAGGGTTGTCCGGTTCCAGAGGAACAGAACGAATGTCCATCATCTCCATGGTAACCATATGAGTGTTTATCCCAACCTAGAGAACAAAGCATTTCAAAGGTACTCATTTATTTTAATACAAGGCTATGCAAAGTTAGTATATTCCAATCCAAGCTAATAAAGTTAATTAATATGCTCAGCTTTCTGGTTTCTAAAATTTCTTAACAAATGCATTTCAACAAAAAGACAACTTCTCTTATCAAAATGGCTGAACATGCAGTTCAATTTATAGTATTCAGTGGATAATACCATGTCAGAAAAAAAATCTGTTTTTCTCTTTAAGCAAACTTGCAAAATTATCAACACTGAAAATATAATCAGCTACAACATTCAAATTTGAAAAGCTATCTGCAGATCTGACGCGCCCCAGTAAAGCAATGAAGATTCCTCTTGTTCTCCCTTTCATCTCACAAAACTCTTGCAGCCATATGTCATAATCAAATTCTTTCTGGCTAAAGCCCAAATACACATCTCTGGGGAAATGCACTTCTGATTATTTCTAATGACGGTTCAG